TCTTTCTTTCTTTCTTTCTTTCTTTCTTTCTTTCTTTCTTTCTTTCTCTCTCTCTCTCTCTCTCTCTCTCTCTCTCTCTCTCTCTCCCTCCCTCCCTCCCTCCCTCCCTCCCTCTCTCAAGTGCAATCACTTCTCATGCCACAATTTCAAAAACTGAAAAAAGCCAGGTTTTTTTAATTTCCTAAATATTAGGAAAGGACTTCTATCAAGTCCCCTCTCACCTTTTCTCACATGGGATAGGTGGCTCCAGCAGATGTTCTGGTTTTCCTTAAAACTTTTGCTGCAACTCTGGTTTTTATCGACAAAAAACGATAAAAGCATACGGGTGGGTTTTTTAAGAATATTTTGTTGAATTACCAGTTAAAGTTTAAAACATTTTGGATTTTTCCAGTTGTGAATATGCATCCTTCAAAATGGTGTCTGTTAAATAAAAGTTCATTCTTTAAAAAAATGCAAAGCCTGCTTTAAAAACCGTTCATGCTGCAAGCATCTCTCATAATGTTCCAGTAGTATTACTCTCTTCATCTTTTTCATTGCAGAAAGAACATTTCCCTTTTAAACATTTCCCTATTAAATCTTGGTTCCCTTTCAAAGCATGGTTTGCAGAATGTGAGAATGTGGCCTGTTTTTCCCCTTCCTATCTGGCATTAATTGTGTTTTGTCACTGCAAGTAGATCATGGTCAAAGTACTACCTCATGCTGCGATAGCGGATAACCTTATTGATATTAATGCTGCGATATTAATGAGACATAATTTGTATTTGATCTCCCAGCTGCTTTCAGAGTGACAATCCAGGGAATCCCTGTAGCATTTTCTGCTAAACTATCGGAGGCGAGGCAGAGCATGGAGTTGGAGTCAAGGGAGGAATCAGCCTGGAATCCTTATGTTCTCACAAATGGTCTAATTCCAACCCTTCTTGAATGTCCACCTCAAGGGTGACTCGCAATCTACCTCCTTCTGCTCGCAACTTGACAAAGAAATTAAGGGAAGGGGGAGGTGTGTCATTGGAGAGGGAGAGAAGGAAATCTATGTGAGCCGTTTGCTGCCTGAAAAAATCTTGGTAACTCGAGGTCATAAGCTGAAGGCTTTTGAAAGGTACAGACTGTTTTCCCAAAACAAAATATCTAACATGGATTGGTGGACAGTGGACACTAGGCAGCCTGGGGAAGGAAAAGGGGGTTTGATTATACCGTGCTTTGTGCCAAAACTTCAGAACGGGCTTAGCTTCTTCAGTTGCCTGTATGGATCTGTCAGTAAAGTTTTACTCCCAGTAATAAAAAATGTTCCAAAAGTTTCTTTTGCTGTACAGGCCAATGGGATGGTTGACAGCCATTTACTCTTTATCTATGGTCAAGTTAGTGCTGACTGTTACTTGACTAAATCCTTGTGTACAGACATGAGCAATAAATCGTTTTAACTTAATATGCGGTCCTGACTTCTTTGCACCTGACATAAACTCCTCTGTTGTCTAAATTTGGTTTGCATCGATTGTTTCTCTCCTGCAGGACCATGGCAAGTCCAAGATCAAGGAAAGTCCTTAAAGAAGTGAGAGTGCAAGATGAAAACAATGTAAGTAGCTTGGGTTACCTGCTCAGCCCCATAATGATGAAGTGGCCATGAATCAACTCCAGCTCATGTTAGATAATTAATGCCTGTGGTTATTATATTGCCCACGCAAATTATTGGGCCAATTTGCTGCAAAGTATCAGTCTTTCTAACTAAACGGTATGACTCACATTGTTTGCAAGACTGAACCACGGTGGCGCAGTGGTCAGAGTGCAGTACTGCAGGCTACTTCTGCTGCCTGCCGGCTGCCTGCAATATGGCAGTTCGAATCTCACCAGGCTCAAGGTTGACTCAGCCTTCCATCCTTCCCAGATGGGTAAAATGAGGACCCAGATTGTTGGGGGCAAGAGGCTGGCTCTGTAAACCACTGAGGGCTGTAAAAAGGGGTGGGCTGCTGGGGGCTCGCAGGAGCTGAAGAGAGCCCCTAGCTAAGACTGTGCGGGGCTCAGAGAGTCCCCAATAACTTCAGAAAGACAAACAGCAAGGGAAAGCTCTTAATAAGTTTAATTGAAGTTCTGGGCATTCAGCCAAGAGCATTTCACACCTTGTAAAAGTGTTACAAGCTAGATAAACAATCCACTCAGCGCTTGGGAGGGAGAACCATTGCGAAAATCAGATAACATAGCCACTAGCTTCTGAGGGGATTAATTCTCAAATGATAAGAATCACGTAACTCACCAGAAACTCCACTAAGACTCCAAGATTCCTCTTGCAGTCATGGTTATTAAGCCTGGTTTCACCCAGTCTTTTATTTAAGTATTAAATGCACGAAATAATAAACAACTTTTTGGTATACATATTTTTTTTATGTAATTACAGCAAAGAAGCGACGCCGAGTTGGCCACACCCATCCAGTCACATGACCACTCAGCCACACCCACCCAGCCAGTCATTAGGGCAGAGAGCCCCTTGCTAAAAAAATTGAAGCCCATCCTGGCTGTAAAGCACTGTGAAGCGGTATATAAGTCTAAGTGCTATTGCTAAGTGCTATTCCTGAAAATGCCAAATATTTCTTGTTTATAAATACAGGTAGTCCTCAACTTGCAACCACAATAGAGCCCCAAATTTCTGTTGCTACAGGAGACATTTCTTAAGTGAATTTAACTCCATTTTACGATCTGTCTTGCCACAGTTGTTAAGTGAATCACTGCTGTTGTCAAGCTAGTGACACCTTTGTTAAGGGAATCTATCTTCCCCATTGACTTTGCTTATCAGAATGTCGCAAAAGGGGATCATGTGACCCCGGGACCCTGCGACCGTCATAAACATGAGCCAGTTGCCAAGAGCCTGAATTTCGATCACGTGACTTACGAGGTTGCTGTAACAGTCATAAGTGTGAAAAACGGTCATAAGTCTCTCTCAAGTGCCATTGTAAGTTTGAACGGTCACTAAATGAACTGTTGTAAGTTGAGGACTGCCTGTGCTGACCATCTGTTTCATTTTTTAGTTAGGCACAACATACTTCACAGTCATAAATAAAAGAAAATCCCAATGCAGTAAGAAAATACATTTCAAGGGGGAGGCGTTTGTGTGGCAGCATCACAACATACTGTGAGGCAAGAAAAATGCTTCTGAAGGAAATTTTAACCTTCAGAAAAATATCCCTGAGTGAAGTGTTTTTACCCATCCTGTCAAAACATTTGATCCTTTAGCGAGATTTGTTTTGGAACGTGCGGCGGTTTTGAACTGGTATAAGTTTAGCTTACTTTCCATTTTTGAACACGAATCACTTATTCACTGTGTTTCATTGAATAACCTCCTGGCACTCCTCCCAATTTTAAACAATTTTGATTGGTGAGCGTATCTGTGGCTAACCTAGAGTGTCAACTCATAAAACATTCCTATGCCTGTTTTAGTGGTTGCCATAAAAAAATGGGGGGAGGAAGGAAATGTGGAAGAGCAGTGCAGCGGTTTGGAAGCAAAAGTACATTCCAACTCTTATCTCTTTAAAAGATTGTAACTGAAATACCAGAGCAAATATATTTCATTGGAGAACGTGAATGATGACACCCAGCCCCTGAATGGTCTCAATTGGAGAATCTGATTATGACACACCCAGGAGGGAGGAGGGGAAACAGGGTCACAGGGGACTGTAAATGACATATGTCAGAGTTGGCTTCATACAGGGCAGTGCCAGTATGTCGCCTCGAATTAATCCTTTGAAGTGTTTTGAAATTTGGCTCGAGAATCACGATTTACTTAGAGCAATTGCTGGTATCCTGACATAGAGACTATTTAAAATGACCAAAAAATAGCAAGAGTAGAAATAATATTTTTGTGGGTGGCTTGAGTTAATGGTATACTACACGGGTGTCAAGCTGGATATCTTCCAACGGCCAGATCAGCATTGTAGTTCTCTGCGGGCTGGCATGAGGGGGTGGGTGGGATGGCGGCAGTGCGCCTCATTTTCGCCCTCGATGGCCTCCTGCAGCACTGCTGGCAGAAAACGGGTTGTGTGGCCCGTTTTCGGGCTGTTTGGGGCCTATTTTTGGCCCATTTTGAGCGTATTTTGGGGGCATTTTTGGCCCGTTTTTTTGGCCCAGTCTTCAACCCATGGAGGGTGAAAACAAGGTGCAGGGGGGAGGGGTGCATGTGGCCCATTTTAGCCGCTAGAGGCACTGCGGGCCGGTCCCTTGATATTTTCAGGCCGGCCTAGCAGGCCAGTTTTAAGCCATCACGGGCTTTGAGTTTGACACCCCTGGTATACTACATTTGATACATACCACCTAGAAGGTAGCTTTTGATAATATGCATTCCTGTCTGCTTTCCTTGAATTTTCTGAGGAATGTTTACTGGTTCTAGGAATGTTAATGGTAAACTAATACTTCCTTGCAGTAGGATTAATCTTCCTGCTAATCAGTTAATGTTCCTTCTCCTCTTGCCTACCATTAATCGTGTCTTTCTTCTAATTTTTTCCCCCCAAAATGTCAGATTTATTTTTCCACAGCTACTCCAGATTTCCACAGATGCTTCCTTAAAACCCTGGCCAGAATTGTTATTAATATGCAAAAAGCAGGCATGGCATTAATTCCCCAGAAACTCAACCCACAGTTGAAAAGCATTGGAAGATTCCGGGGTTTGATGCAACTAAATAAATTAACTCCTGGGTTTTAAATTGTCGTCACCTGCCCTTTCAATGCAGTAGCTTCGTGCCTGTCTTTTTCTCCAGCTTGAGCATCAGTTTCATATTTACATGATTTTATCTGGCCTGAGCTGATTTCCAGCGCATGAGAATGATCTGGCTGCCACATCTGTCATCCCAGAATTGATTGGGTGATCTGACAGGCTGAGGGGATATCTCCTTCCTCCCTCACTGTTCCTTGAGCATCTGTCCTGAAGCCGTGGGCTTGGGGGTTACCTCATACAGATAGTCCTCGACGTACGACTACGATTGAGCCCAACGTTTCCACTGCTGAGGAAGGCAGTTGTTTAAATGGGCTTTGCTCCATTTTGCGACCCTTTTTTTTTTTTTGCCATGGTGGTGAAGCAAATCACGGCAGTCGTTAAGTGAATCAAGCAGTCATTAAGCAAAGGGCTTCCCCCATTGACTGCTTTTTGAAGGATGGCTGGGAGGGTTGCAAATGGTGATCACATGACCCCAGGACAGTGCAATTACCATAAATACATGCTAGTTGCCAAAGGCCCCATTTTTTTTTGTTTGACCATGAACAATGCAGTGGTCGCAAGTGTGAGAAACGGTTATAACTCACTTTTTTCAGTGCCTTTGTAACTTTGAACTAAGCAAATGATGGAAAGTTAAATTCGAACTGTTCCCCCCATCATGTGTGGTTGTATTTTTTTTGTAAGATCTTTATAGAGGTAGTTCTCAATTTGCGACCACAACTCAGCCCAACATTTTACGTCGCTAAGTGAGAAATTTATTAAGGGAGTTTTGCCCCATTTTACGACTTTTCTTGCCACCTTTGTTAAGTGAATCACTGCAATTGTTAAATTAGTAGCACGGTCATTAAGTGAATCTGGCTTCCCCCGGGACTTTGCTTCTCAGAAGGTCGCAAAGAGGGATCATGTGACTCCCGATAACTGCAACCATCATAAATGTGAGTCAGTTGTCAAGCATCCGAATGTAAATCATGTGACCAGGGGAGATGCTACAGTGGTCATAAGTGTGCACAACGGCCATAGCTCATTTTTTTCAGCGCCGCTGTAACTGAACAGTCATTAAACGAACTGTTGTAAGTCGAGGACTACCTGTAATTGTGTTACTTTTTTTCTTCTGTATGGGCATACACACTTTTTCCAGCCTCCAGTCAGCATAGCCTTGTGCTCTGCTGATACAGAACAATTAGCCCTTTAATTGTCTATTCTCCTGAAGCTTTAAACAGTTTTATGTGATTATTTTGTCTGCCCTTGGCAGTTTGCTGTTTGACAGCTGCTGCGTTGTTTTTCCCCCTTTCACTTTCCAGTGCAGTCTCTCTCTCTCCAGATGATTTCATAATTCTTTAATCCTTCTTGTTAAAAGTTTTATATAATCTTTTTTTTTCTTTTGGACCTTCGTTGATCATATTACGCCTCTCTTAAATCTCTTTCGTGATTACGTAAATTTTCTTCTCATCTCTCAGTCTTCTTTCAAAACTATTTCTGCCCTTCTTTGTTGTCGTCTTCTCTTTCCCAACATTCTTATTGAAATAATCTTTCCATACTGTTTTCCTCCTAGGTGTTAAGCTAAGTTCTCTCTTGTTGTCCTGAAGCTTTCATCTTCCATCTTTTCCTAACTATTGTGATAATTTCTTTGGAAAAACCACTTAAATCTTTTTTTTTATCTTTGAAAGGGCTGAGAGTGAGGGAGGGAGGGAGGGAGTGGTCCAAAGCCATCAAAGAAGGTTGAAGATGGGCTTGAACCTGAATTTCTCCAGTCCTAATCCCACTTCTTAACCATTATGGGTTTTTTTCTTCTTTTTTGTTTTTACAGGCTCTCTTGTCTTTTTCCATAGTTCTTCGGACCCTTTTCCAGACATATAAAGTGTCTTTGGATTGATCTTCTGCTGTGCTCTGACTTTCTAGTTCAAAATCTTCCCTATTGTATTCAATTGTCTAGTTTTATCCCATATTAATAATGCAAAGTCTGTTTCAGAATCTGTACGTGTGGTGGCTGATTGTATTAGATTTTCCAACTTCTGTTTCCTATTAAATTGTCGGTTTGATTAGGATGGTGTCCAGATGTAGTGCCTGCTTTTATGTCGTTGGAAGCAGTTTTCTGCTATAAACATTGAATTGTCTTCACAAAACCTATTTCTTTCATCACTGCATCTAACCAAACTTCATCGTCGTCATCATCAATCATCATTTTTCATATTATTTCCCAGCTATGCTTTGTACAACTCAAGGTGATGTATGAAAATGATCATACTCCCCATTTTTTAACAACAATAGCAACAACTCTGAGAGGTAGATTGGATTGAGAGATAGCCATAGCCACCTGCTCTGCTTCAGTGGTTGAGGATGGATCAGAAATCCTGGTTTTCCAGTCTGTCAGCCTTCAAGATTTTCTCTTTTTTCCCCCCTATTGCTTTGCATCTTTTGGCTGTCATAAGTAACGGGGAGGAGGGAGGATATGGTTATGGGAAGTGAGCTGGAGGTGTTACAAAACAGAACTGTATAAGTTGTGGGGGGGGGAGGTTCTTGCTTAGGCCTCTGTCCTATGCTATGCGCAGCTGCAACTCTTTATCAAAATATGTCAAGGTCAACGGACAGAGGCCTCATCACCACCTGGAGATGCCCACATGATGCCCACACAACTTTTAATTGGATGAGCCAATTGAACTATTGGGGGTGGGAACGTTGCCATCACTTTGTATATGTGATTTACACGCCCATTTTCTCAGATTCAGAATTCTTTTGTTGCTACCACTTGATTTCCAGTAAAAGATATCTTTTCTCTAATTAATGGAGTCTTAAGTATTTCTTTCTTGGATTTTGAATGGAGCACCAGCTGACATTGTCCCTCTACTTTCACTGTTATACCAAATTGTCTGTCTGTCCCTCCATACCTTCTTGTGATCCATTACTTCAAGGTGGTGATCACCTGGGAGAGTCTTTATATTAATAGACATACCTAAGCTTGATTTCGCCTAATAGTATTTTTATGAAAGCTGCTTGTTATTTTTATTATTATTTTTATTGGATTTTTATCCTGGCATTGTTACTTTATCAGTAAATCAAGGTGGCAAATATACCTAAATCTCCTTCCTCCCCTTATTTTCCACACAGCAACAACCCTGTGAGGTACGTTGGGCTGAGAGACGACGATTGGTCCAAAGTCACCCAGCTGGCTTTCATGCCCAAGGCAGGACTAGAACAGGGGTGGGATTCAAAAATCCCAACAACGGTTGTCTGCCTGGGTGGACGTGGACGTGGTGGGCATGGCCTACCGGAACTTTCAGGAGGGCCGTTTTTCGCTTTTCCCAGAATCCGGAGGCTTCCCTCGGGCTTCTGGGAAGGTGAAAACGGCCTCCCCCAGGCTCCGGAGGCTCTCCGGAAGTCGCAAACAGGTCCGTTTCTGGACTTTTGGAACTTCTGGGAGGGGCGTTTTTTGCCTCTCCAGAATCCGGAGGCTTCCCTCAGGCTTCTGGGAGGGCAAAAACAACCTCCCCCGGGCTCCGGAGGCCCTCCGGAAGTCAGAAACAGGCCCATTTCCAGAACTTCCAGGAGGGCCTTTTTTCGCCTTCCCAGAGCTTCCACGTGGACCCTGCATCCAAAACGGGCTGCGTGGAGACTCCGGGGAGGGGAGGGGCAGGGTGGGGTGGGAGGGGCCATCCAGTCGGTTCAACTGTTGGTTCAGCGAACCAGATGTAAATTTAACATCCGGTTCACCTGAACCAGCTGAATCCCACCCCTCGACTAGAACTCTCAAGTCTCCTGGTGATTAGCTGTAAGTCACTCAGCCGACTGTCAAGGTCCTAGGTTTACTGTGGAAAACTCAAAATTATCTCAAAATTAACACTAACCGCCTTCTCTTTACAGGTTTGTTTTGAGTGTGGTGCATTTAACCCCCAGTGGGTGAGTGTGAGTTATGGAATCTGGATCTGTCTGGAGTGCTCAGGAAAACATAGAGGCTTGGGAGTTCATCTGAGGTTGGTCATTGATTATGCATTAATAATACAAGAAATTGTTGCATCCTATTAATTTCCTTGTTTTTATTTATTGACTGAACAGATTTATATAGTTGTCCATCTTCTACAATGTTGCCCTTGCTGGATTAGAAACAACAATAAAAACCATTAAACCAGCCTCCCCTAAAACAAAACACACCCCTTACATGTCCATACAGTTTCACTGCTCTTCAACCTCATGCTATCCAAGGCTTCAAAGCTTTTCCAGAAAAGGTGTCCCCAAAGGACAGGTGCCTCTTCCCTCCTATACTTTCTAGCCTGGATAGCTTTTTATTTATGTAAATTATTTATGCACTAAATTTATGTACCACCCATCTTGCTGTTTAAGGGTGACGCTGAGCGGCTTACAATATAATACAAAATAGATGTAAAAATGGATGAAAATTGCAAAATATTAAATATAAGACCATGAGTTTGGAGCGTCAAACGTGTCATCAGTCTAGAATCCCTTTCAGAGGTGGTATTCACTAGGTTGTGACCAATACTGGAGAACCGGTAGCAGAAATTTTGAGTAATTCAGAATACCGGCAAATACCAACTCTGACTGGCCCCGCCCCCATCTATTCTCTGCCTCCTGAGTCCCAGCTGATTGGCTGGGTCTCCTTTTGTTGCCCTGCACAGGAGAATGGAGCTGGAAAGCAGGTGAGTGGGGTAGGGAGGGAATGGAGATTTTGCAGCCACGCTTGCCATGCCCACCAAGCCACGCCCACAGAACCGGTAGTAAAAAAATTTGAATCCCATCACTGGTCCCTTTGCACCCACAAGAGATCTAAGTCCATCCCACCATGAATTCCACTGACTCTTACTTACCGCCACTTTCCTTGGCCAGTTACTAGTTCCAATTCTTATAGAGAGTTTAAGCTTGCAATAAATCTTTCTGCTGACTTGAACTGCCTGGTTTTTCCTAATCCCCTGGGGTTTGACACCTTCTCTGTTACTGCACCAACCACCTCCAGCCTCCAGATTCTCTATCGGGACCCCATGCCAGCTGGCCGAGCCAGGTTAAGTTTTGCTTGATTGCAAATTCATTTCTGCTGTTTGCTCCAAGAATTTTTTGAAATTCTCAGGGAGGGGTCAGATAGGAAGCCAAATAAATATTCTAAATAAATACAATCAATCAATACATTTTCTCAATAAATAAATCGTTGTTTCAACACTGATGGCTATACCGGCATACTGAGGAGCCATTGAATTGTGCTTTACAGTTTTGTGCGGTCTGTCACAATGGACAAATGGAAAGACATAGAACTGGAGAAAATGAAGGCCGGCGGTAACCTTAAATTCCGAGAGTTTTTAGAGTCTCAAGATGATTATGACCCTTGCTGGTCGTTGCAAGAGAAGTACAACAGCAAAGCTGCGGCACTCTTCAGAGATAAGGTAAATCCGATTCAGCACGTTTTCAATGTTCTTGGACCTACCGTGGTTCCCCCAAAATACGACCTACTCAGAAAGTAAGTCCTAGCTTGATTTTTATAGGTACGCCCAATATAAGCCCTACTCCCAAAATAAGCCCTAATGAAGGGTACACAGGTAAAAATTAAGCTATGGTGGGGGTTGGGGGTGTGTGGAGCTGCCCTACTACTTACCTTTGGATAGTTGTAGCCAAGCCTCGCACACCTCAGCCCATTTCTTCTGCAGCCAGTAGGGCTTTCCTGAAGGCCTCTGTAGCTGCTAACAGAGCTCTAGATCGATCCTAGCTGCAGGAGAAATGGGCCTAGGTTGCAAGGCTTGGCTACAACTATCTGAAGCTGAAGAAGTTCCTGAAGGCCTCTGACAGCAAAAAGGAGGCTTGGGGTGAGGCACGCAAGTGAAGTGAGTCAGTGGACAATATCCCCCCCCACCCCCGAAAATAAGACCTGGTGCCTTTTTTGGTGGCAAAAAAATTATAAGATGGTCTTATTTGAGGGGAAACACGGTTGATTGTGGGTTTTTTTTTGAAAACTCCCATTTTTGATTCTGCATTTCTATGAATATTAAGTAATTCACAGTATCTACACAAACATTAGAAAGAGACTGATTTACAGTGTCAGAATTTCTCTATTTTGGCTTCTGCAGCATGTAATTATTGACAAACAGAACACTGAGTTTATACAGGTGGTCCTCGGCTTACAACAGTTTGTTGAGTGACAGCTCAAAGTTACAACAGCACTGAAAAAAGTGATCGTTTTTCACACGACAGCATGCAGCATGCTCACAGTCAGGTGATCAAAATCCAGAGGCTTGGCAGCTGACTCATATTTATGACGGTTGCAGTGTCCCCGGGATCATGGGATCCCCTTTTGCGATCTTCTGACGAGCAAAGTCATTGAGGAAGTCACATTCACTTAACAACCCTGTGTCTAACTTAACTGCAGTGATTCACTTAACGGTGGCAAGAAAGGTCATAAAATGGTGCAAAATTCACTTAACAAATGTCTCACTTAGCAACAGAAATTTTGGGGTCAGCTGTGATTGTAAGTCGAGGACTACCTGTAGTTTAGAGTAATTAAACAGCTATTTAAAAGAGCCACGGTGGTGCAGTGGTTAGAGTGCAGAACTGCAGGTTACTTCTGCTGCTTGCCGGCTGCCTGCAATTTGGCAGTTTGAATCTCACCAGGCTCCAGGTTGACTCAGCCTTCCATCCTTCCGAGGTGGGTAAAATGAGGACCCAGATTGTTGGGGGCAAGAGGCTGACTCTGTAAACCGCTTAGAGAGGGCTGTAAAAGCACTGTGAAGCAGTATATAAGTCTAAGTGCTATATTGCTATTATGAAGGCCGTGCAGGAAACAAAAAACGTGTATTATTTCACACTCAACAGTTTGACTTTCACACTTGAAATGTCCCAACTGCACCCTTTTCGACTGAAACAGTTTAAAGAAGGAATAATTTGCACCTCCCTTCTCAAATCTGCACCACTCAAAACAGCCAAGATTTGGCTCATGCCAAAATAAAAAATCTCAGCAAAATGCAGGTGTTCCATTTTGTTTCTCAGAACCATCAAAACAGGCGTGATTGCTTTGAACCCACCACACTTCACAGCCACAATCTTTTGTGTATCCCCTAGCTATTATTGAAGAGTGTTTCTTTTTCAGGAAAGTAGTGGGTTTTTTTTTTTAAGCAGGCAAGTGAACATTGACTGTGTTTTGTCTGCAACTTGTTCCATTTTTGCAGTTCTGCAAATTCTCATCACCTGCCCAAATAAAGCATGTGCCATTTTTTGAACCAATAAAAATAGTAAGAGGCTGTGTGGAAAGAACCTGCTGAGATCAGCATTCCTTGTGGCTGATCTGGAATTGTCAGAAGCATTCCCTTCTTGAAATTCACCCAGCCGTTCTTGCCATAAGCACTGAGATTTCTTACTGGCACTTGCTGTTTATTTTTATTTTTCTCTTTCAAGCTGTCTTAACTGATGACTTTGGTCCCCTCCAGTTATGAGTTGTCAGCAAGCCCATGGCCGTTTCCCTAATTTAAGGCCTTGGGACAGAACTGTGGGCGTCCTTGCAATTATCTCTGTGTAGCTGTCATCGAAGCTCCCAGAATACGTGTGGGTGGCTTGTGAGGCATACATTCCCACTGGAACATCCTTTGTGGTCCGAGAACCTCTAAGTGCAAACCGATTTGAACATTTTAGATCTGTTTTGGGAGGCGATAGAAGGATGAGGAGCAAATTAGTGCCGAAAGAGCCCATTTGCTGAATGTGTTCATCTAGAAACCAGGAGTTCTAGTCCCATTTTAGGCATGAAAGCCATTTGGGTGACTCTGGGCCACCAGGAGAGTGTGAGTTCTAGTCCCACCTTAGGCATGAAAGCTGGATGGATAACTTTGAGCCAGTCACATCCTCCCAGCCCATTCCATCTTGGGCTTGTTGTTGTTGTGGGGGAAATAGCAAGCCAGGAATATTAAGTAGTTTTACCATCTTGAGCTGACAAACTCTCTCTACTGCTAGTGCTCGACTTAAGAGTGGCCACTTAATTAGGATGGAGCCACCTTGGAGTTATTTACCATCCATTGACTGAACTTCAAGCCACTTGGCCGCATATACAACCATTCCCTGTGGTTGTATGTGACGTGGTCACATGACCACATTTTACAAGACATTTTGTTGAGAGCCAGCACTTCCAGATTTGGGCAAACTGCAGCCATAGCATACCATCGATTTGCTTAATGTCAGTAGGACTTGCTTAACGACCGCTACAAAAGTCGTAAAATCAGCTCGGTCACAGGACTGTAAAATCAGCTCGGGCACACAACTTTTATGGCAGGCTCCATTATGGTTGTATGTCGAGGTACTTACTATCCTCTGCAGGAAAAAAATATATATAACAATCAACAGAAAAGCCTTGCATCAGTAGTAAATGTAAGAACGGCTTCCCCAAAATTGGCCTAGTAGTCTCATTGAGATCTAAGGAGTGGATGCATTTTGTCACTTCGAGAGAGAGAGAGATTCATTCATTCGTTCATTTTGTTTGCCGCCCATCTCGCTATCTCTGATAACATTGATAACATCTTAGTGTCACTGTCCAGAATCGCAGTCAAGATAGAAAGAGAAAATATCAACTCAGAGTAAGAAAACTTCTCTGTCTGTATCTCAGGACAAGGGTCTGAGATATTTTATAGACCTTAGAGTCCAATTGTGTTCAACCTATCCTGTTCTTGTTGCGCTCAAGCAGGGATGGGGAACTATGGCCCTTTGATGACTTGCGGACTTCAGTTCCCAGAATTCCGGAGCCAACTCAGGAATCCTGGGAGTTGAAGTCCGCAAGTCATAAAGGCGGCCATCTCTGCACTAAAGAGTTTGTTTATTTAAAGTCCTTTTTTTCCTTTAGGTGGCCATGTTAGCTGAAGGTAAAGAATGGTCCATTGAAACCTCTGCTGCTCGGAATTGGAGTCCTCCGCAGCCCAAGGTTGCTTTGTCCTCAGCTCATCGGTAAACATCCCTCTTTTAAAGCCCTATTTTAAAGCTTTAATTTTTACTACCAAAGCACAGCCCTTTGCAGCTGAACATTTAGTGAATATATGTGCAGGTGTTAAGCGAGGGCTTACGTCACTCATTCCTCCTGAAGAGAAAGAACAGAATGTAAATCTGACAGAGAAAAATAAGCCAATTAACTAAAAATAAATCTACTTGTGAGCAAAGGGTGGATTTGCAATGTCTGCTCAGAGAGAGATTGTGCTTGTGCCCAACTTTTCCAGGTTAAGTAATGTGGCACGTTTTGTGTCGTACTGTGAGACAAAAAAACAACAACGACCCATGTTTGTAATTTAATAGGTGTCGTCTTTCTGTAGTTCCATTTTTGATGTGGGTTTTTTTGTGTGTGTGTGCAGAAGCTCTGGAGGGCAACCGCAGAATGCCGGCCCCACTTCTGATAAAGCATTTGAAGACTGGTTGAATGATGACGTTGGTTCCTATCAAAGGTAAGCATTCTAGATGGAATTTAGCCAAAGGCCTTGAAGAATCTATTTTTTTTTTAAAAAAAGGCCTTCAAATCAGTTTTGACTCAAAATAACTGCCAGGACAAGTCCCTGCAGTTTCCTTGGCAACCTTTTGGGAAGTGGTTAATCCTTGCTTCCTTCCTAGGGCCAAGAAACAACAACTGCTTGAGGTGGAACTAGAATTCAGCTCTCCCAGTTTCTAATTGGTTCCCTTTAGCCACTAAACCAATGTTTTTCAACTTTGGCAACTTTAAGTTGTGTGGACTTCAGTTCCCAGAATTTCAATTCTGAGAGTTGAAATCCACGCAGCTTAAAGTTGCCACGGTTGGGAAACATTTCACTGTACCTAAGTGGCTCCTGAAGCACTTTAAAGACGGGCAAATGTATTGTCATTATAAACAGCTTGATCCTCCTTTCCTTTTGTGTTCCCCTTCAGTGGCCAAGAAAATCGCTATGTTGGGTTTGGGAACACAGTCACTCCTCCCAAAAAAGAAGATGACTTCCTGAACAACGCTATGTCTTCTCTTTACTCGGTAAGTCGAAATTGTTCGTAGGTGTGCTAATTCAAGACACAGTTTTGCTGTCCTGTCATTTTTAATATTTTTTTTTAAAAAAAGAATAAAATTAGGAATCCTGGATGATTTTACTCCTGTCCGGAGTAGAAGTTAAAAGATTTTGTTCTGACCCAGCTCCCCAAATACAACAAATCCTCTGTAGTTGAAGCAATGATTCCTTTATTAGGAGCACCAGCAGCCCAGGCAAAAATTTTCTTTTTCACCGCAGGTTAACACGTCTGTCCAGCAGGGAGATGAATAGTTGTCTGCCTATTTATCTCTGCCCCCTGCCTTTTAATCCCAAAGCTAGGGGGGGCTCGCTAGCAATGGTGGCTCTTCCGCCCCAAGGATCGGCCCATAGGTTTCCACTGTTCTCCTCTCCTCTGCCTTCTGTGCATCCACGCATCAGGCACTGGACCCAGCTGTTCCTCCTTTTCCTCATCAGCCACCTGCAGACCTGGAGGCTGTGGCCTCTCCATATGAGGGCTGCCGGATGATCTAGGCTCTGCCTCTGTCTCTTTGTGACAGCTCCACTTCCTCTTCCTCCTTGGAGCTCTCAGTTTGCCCTGATGCTGACCCTGAACTCCCACGCTGCCTCCTCCTCCTCCGATTCTGCTGCTGGAGAGGCTGGCAGGCAGACAGGCCACAACAGATTTACAGTTTTAGATTATTGAAGTCCATGCATCTTCACGGACCCATGTTTGGAAAAAAAAAATATTGCCGTGAAGCTTTGGAAGGGTGAAGCGGGGTCAGGCTGCAAAACTTTGTTTCCCGAAGCTGATCTAAAATGAAGCAGAAGTAAAACCAACTTTTCCTTCCGGTTTCATTCTATATAAATAACAGAGTCGCATTTTACTTGATAGTCGACCTGGGGATCTGAAAGTGGCAGCCCAGACCTGAAACGTAGAGAATCTTGCAAATTCCCTTTGTTCCCTTTGCAAATTTCCCATCTCTCTCTTAAGCATGGACCCTTTTAAGTATGGACTCTGCATCAATGAACAGTTGTGTCTATGTTTTGCACATTTCAGGCCTAGGCTCATGTCCAAATGTGTAAGTTTTTAGACACTGAAGTATCTTCCCCAAAGTAGGACTACTAACCTTCAATCTCTGTTTTTTAGGGCTGGAGTAGTTTTACATCTGGAGCAAGCAAGTTCGCTTCTGCAGCTAAAGAGGGTGTAAGTAAACATTCTGACTGGCAAATGGATCTAGAGGCAGTCCTGGATTTACAACCACAATTGAGGCCAAAATTTCCAATGCAAAGCAGTTGTTAAACGAGTTTTGCCCCATTTTAAAGCCTTTCTTGCCACAATTATTAAGTGAATCCCTGTGATTGTTAAGTTAATAACCTATGGTTTTCTGCCTTTCCCATTGACTTTCCTCATCACAAGGTCGCAAAGGGGGATCCTGTGACCCCAGGGACACTGCAACCGTCATAAATATGAGTCAGTTGCCAAGCGTCTGAATTTTGTTTGCGTGACTGACCATGGGGATACTGCAATGGTCATAAGTGTGAAAAACAGGAACTGGGCTTGGCTAGTCTAGGGAAGAGAAGGACCAGGGGAGACATGATAGCAGTCTTCCAATATTTGAGGGGCTGCCACAGAGAGGAGGAAGGGGTCAAGCTATTTTCTAAAGCACCCGAAGGCCAGACAAGGAACAATGGATGGAAACTGATTAAGGAGAGATTCAACCTGGAAATAAGGAGAAACTTTCTGACAGTGAGAACAATCAACCCATGGAACAGAAGTTGCCCTCGGAAGTTGTGGGAGCGTCATCACTTGAGACCTTCACGAAGAGACTGTACTGCCATTTATCAGGAATGGCGTAGGCTTTCCTGCTTGGGTAGGGGGTTGGACTAGATGACCTACAAGGTCCCTTCCAACTCTGATTATCTGTTATATCTGTTACAGTCATAAGCCCCTTTTTGCTGTGTCATTGTAACAAATGTAATAACAAGAGAAGTCAACAAGCAAAGACATTGGGGAAGCCTCACTTAACAGCCGGGTTACTAACTTAACAGCTGCAAGTGATTCCCTTAACAATCATGACAAGAAAGATTGTCAAATGGGGCAAATCTCATTTAACTATTGTCTTGCTTAGCGATGGAAATGTTGGGCTCAGTTGTGCTTGTCACTCAAGGATATGTGATTTTTCAATAAAAACTAGTATTTTTTTCAAAACGAACTTGAGATAATTTTCAAAAAATATACATGGAACAGCTGAGAGATGCAGATAGCTGACTTCAGGAAAAATTGTGATGTTAAGTGGCCTCGAATAACCAGCCTACAATGTTTTCATGCATTGCTTTCTAGTAATTTCTCCAGACCATCTGCTGTTTAAAAGTAAAATGGCTCTGGTATTTCCTTGTAATATTAAACCACCACGGTTCTTACGAATGTATAAAAATATTGCTTAGACTGTTAAAATGCGAAGGCTCACAAAGCAAAGCTCTATAAATTGTTGTTACGCACCAAGAAGGCTATTATTGAGATCGTGTCTGTAATAATAGCATTTATACTTGTCATTGTACCCCTGCATTTTCCTCTCTGTGCATCTGTGTGCATTTTTTCTATAGCGTTCAGACTTGATAGATTGGTAATATTGCTTCAGACAAGTATGAAAGATGGTTAGACTCATTCAAAAGAAACCAATGAATGAATGGGGTACATTTAGGTAGTATTAAAAACCTTTTGAGTGGTACACATAATTTGGGATGCGGAGGCATAATGGTTTCCAGTTCCTTAAGATGCTAGGAGGTGGGCGTACTTAAATTTTTTTAAAAAAGAATCCTAGAATTTGCAGAGCATTTGAATTTTTGATTGTTTAAAAGGAAACATGGAATCGAACTAAGACAATTTTGCTTTTGTTAACAGGCTAGCAAGTTTGGATCTCAAGCAAGTCAAAAGGTAACTCTTGCAAACTACTGAATACTAAAAATGTTTCATTGGTTCTCTTTTCCTTGCAACTTGCTTTCCTAAATCTTAGAAATAACACTTAGTGTTATTTAAGTGTTACATGACAGATGAAAGTAAGGGGTTTAACCCATTGACTCTTTAGTTGCCCGATTAGTTATTTACTGCAGTGTTGAACAATGAAACCCCTGTTTTTGTCCTTGGCATCAGCTTGTATTAGCAGTAAATTGTACACTCCAATTTCAGGCTGTTGAAATAAGCCAGCACATCCTCTAAGTTAGACTTCGGTAACAAGGCACATCCTATTTCTTATCCTTTCCAAATGCAGATGGAAATAACTGTCCAGAGCTTACAGCAGGTTGGAAGATATGCCATGTTGTATTTCCAGCCCCTGCATTTAGACAGCAGTTGTAAGCCCCACATAGACTGTGGACACAGTTTGAAAGCTGTGTAGTTTGGTATTATCCATTGAACCTATATCTTATGCCAAAACAGTCATTGTATATGTGGATGGATGGATGGATGGGTAGGTAGATTTATTGACAATTGATAGATGATAAATAGATGATAGATAGAATAAATGATAAATTGAAGATAGAAGATAGATACTGTAGATGATAGATAGATAGATAGATAGATAGATAGATAGATAGATAGATAGATA